GACATACAAGTTTTAGGGAAATGGAAATGACATGACAAAAGACAAGTTTTCGAATGGTTACATTAGTCTTGCAGTTTCTGAAGGCTTCAGATGCTTGTGAATAAACCAAAACTGAGTGAGTGTTCAGACCTGAAGCAATTATATTTCTGTCATATCATTTCTTGGGACGAAGGGCAATGTTGATAACTATTTTTTATCTCCCACCTCTAATTTTTGTGAGGTAAATTTTTTTGTGGTTAAGTACTCAGCACTTAGTTTTTGTGGTTAGAAGTCACTTGTAGATGACTTCTGAGCACCTTCTGGATTAACATTTAAGACTTAAGATATAGTTCTGTGGAGAGGGAGTCTCATATGACCTTGACCTAGTTATAGTCTCATATGAGCTTGACCTAAGAACATTAGAGCAGAGTGAAAACTTGAAGTCTCAGGCCTCCCACACTTGCTGTTCTGTCAGATATTTGAATGCTGAGCCATTTTGATGAAAATTGTTATCTTCTTTCTCTGTGTGTTACTAGTAGCATATCTGTTTTTTTTTTTCTTTCTTTTTCCTGGAGAACATGCAACATGGCATTGTATTCAACATTTAGATGAACAGGTTGAATCACAGGAATTTATTTGTGGGCAGGGCTAATAATGGCTTCACTAATACTACCCTTGCAGGCATTAATCATTTTAATTTTGTAAAACATATCCTACCCTCAAGCCAAAGTCTCTAGTATAATAATGGTTTCTCAGTGGCTTCATTAGAATACTTTCATCATCATCAAAGACAATTCCTGCTTCTTCTTCATTGCCAAGTTAGACTCTCAGACCAGCTGATCAGCCTCCTCTGAACTGGTATTAAGAATGAAACAGGTGTTGATTATGTCATGTAGCATTAGTTAGCAGAAGATTACTGAGGGAACAGATACCTCCTTATGACCAGCCTCCTTTGGAATGAATAAATAAAGGAGACAGATCAACTTTGGGATATTTTGCTTGGTGCAGAAATGTATTCCTTATTTTGATTCTTATCTCACACAACACAGTGTTCTGTGTTTGGCTATTGTGGTTTTCCAAAGGGCGTGAAGGGGCTAAGCTAATAGAGTCTTAGGAGAGCTGCCTTAGAGTAGCTGTTATCAGAGAAAGAGAGTTCATACCAGAAAAGGGCAAGTAGAAACTTGTTCTTCTCATTTGTGAAACAGCTGGGTTCTCAAAGACTTGTGATGCCAAAAGGTCTTTTGACTGTTCCTTCAGGGAATTACTTAATCAGGTAAAAACAATAGGAGTACTTTGAACATATTGAGGTGGAAAGGTAGGATATAAATGATTTTAAAATAAAAGAATGCCTGATGATGGACTGGGTTCTTTGTGTCTTTTGGGAGAATTGTATTCAGCCTGTTCTAATCCTTGAAGGCTTGTGTTGACTCTCATGCTGCAGAGCACCTTACATGAATGAGGGTAGTGTGCCAGCTTTCACTTCCCCTAAGCACAGAATTCTTAAACCCTGTTTACATCCTGGCTGACTGCTATAGTGCATTAAATGTGGGGCTCCAGGCAGTTTCTAAGGCTGCCTAGAAACTATAAAACTCAAGTGCTGTAACTGAAATGAAGATTTTAACTGGATTTAAGAACATATTACAGTGTTGTTTAAAGACTTTCTGGTCCAGAGGACAGTACTAGACGAAGACAAAGGGGAAAAAACAGCAAAATTAACCAAAAAAAGTCTGGAAGACTCATCGAAGATAGACCAAGTACAAAAGGAGTCAGTGGACATAAATCAGATCTACAAAATGGTTTTAGAGGACATGAAAGATGACAGCATGTTTAGAGATATAGCAGGGAATGGGAAAGGAGGAACGAGAGAGGGAATTACCTAGAAAGATGAAAAAAGGGAAAACAAGGAAGGGCCCCTTAATATTGGAAACATGTTCATATTTAGCATTTGGATCTGTAAAAGGAAATATTCTATATATCAAAAGGAGAACTAAATTGGAATAAGGGAGCCTGAATTAGGGTAATGATGTAATATGGTGATTTCTTATTTTAGGCAAACTAAACTAGATACAAAGCTGGGTCATGGATCTGGAACTACTTTCAATAAGAATGTTATTAGAAGATCTTGAGAATTCTATATAATATGAGAGCAATATTATGATAGTAGCTATACTATATACTAAAATCTGTATATGAATGGTTTGAAAGATGGTCGGAATTTTGGGGGATAATCCAGAAGACACTGAGATGTAAAAAACAAATAATTGTAAGCAAGTATGTAACACGATGTCTGATAAGCACAAACAATGTAGATAGATTGGAAAATTAATAAAAAAACGTTTAAAACATAAAGACTTTCTGGTCCAGTTCTGAGCACAATGTGGCATTAGTGCTTGTGAGGTGAATGGTGGCTGATGTTTCTCAGTATCTTTTTAATGGAATTTTCTTTATAGAAAGACTTGTTTCACTACATAACATTACATGTTTTGATTAATCCAGAAAAAGACCTTTGGTTCTTCCAGATTTTCTTTAGTCCTGAGATGTAAATGGTTTTCCATTTGTTGCTTTTAATTGCTAGTCTTAACAGTGATTGATCAGTTTTGCATTCATTTCCTACAATACTATTTTATATTTAGTGATTTTTATTCCATTTGACTGAAAAATAATATATAAATGGCACAATATATAAATTCATAAGTATGGGTAAACCTTCCTTCACACAAGGGGGATCTGAAATGAAATCTGTTACTAATACTCAAGATTTTTGCAGCAGCTAAAATAATAGGTATTTCCTGTCATGGAGATAAGAAATTATAACTTGATGATAGAGAGATTTGTATCCCATTATTCAAATATGTCATTTGCTTTAGCGAGGGAGGATCATGTGTATCTGTCTAGTTTAGACAGGATCACATGCATCTGTCTAATTTGTCACTGTAGAATTTAGTCATGAATTCTCACCACACCATATGAGATTAGCCTACTGATTAGTAGGTGGCGGAGCACTACCTATTCTCTCTTCACAAGACCCTTAATCACACAAATATAAATAATAATATAAATATAAATAATACCAAAGTGCAGTAAAAGACACAGTTGAGAATGTGTTAAATGAGAAATGTGTCAATTTAACAGTTCCCTATTTATTTATTACATTTCTACACTGCTGCTCCACTATTAATAAATAATAACTCTTGTGTCATCAAGTCAGTTCTGACTCTGGTGACCCTAGGGAATACTCAGAAGTAGTTTACCATTCCCTTTTTCTGACAGTGTTCTGGTACTGCACAGCTTGCTCAAGGCTACAAAGACTAGCTCCTCTCCTGGGAGCTACAATGAGGAATAAAGCTCCCAACTCTGGCTCCGCAGCCACATAGCTCGCTCAGCTATCCAGCCAGCTTCAAGGTGACCTAGAAACATCATAAATGCACAGTTAGAACATAGATACAATAATAACACTATTAAAATAAGCTTAATCACAAAACAGATAGCTAAATTAATTTTAATCGATTTCAAGCAGCTTCATAAGAAAATGTAAAGAGATATGCCTTCACACCCATCCTAAAAGAGGAAGCTGATTGAAACTATGAGGGAAGGGCATTTACTCAGATTTCAAAAATGTGTGTGTGTCTCTCTCTCAACACCAAATATCAAATACTCTAGGCAAGACACAGACAAAGGGATCTTTAGCTCCCTTTCCTTCAAAACAAACAGTAGAAAGACTTTGGTTACTGTATTTTTATGGACTTCTTCCAGCCCACTCTTCTTTGTTTCTTGACTCGCACCTGGAATAGATCTGTCTAAGTGATTCTTGGCTTTTCTCCTGGGAAAGAGTAGAGAGTCAGAGAGCCCTTTCTGAGGAAAGTTCAGCAATGGAAAGTTCAGCAATTATTTTTTATTTTAATTCCTTCAGGAGATTACATTGATGTTCATATGGTGAGCCCAGAAAAGCTTAGAACCAGATCCTGTGGTGCAAGGTGCTTGTTTATTTGTTTGTTTGTTTGTTTATTGGTTAGATTTTTCTTACCTCCTTTCTCTCCCAATCAGTAATATAGAACCCAAGGAACATAAATCAGATGAATAAAATAAGTACAAATTATAAACAAAACAAATTAAATTAAAACAACAAACAATATTAAAACTGGCTAAAAACAATTGGTTAATTAAAAGGCAACACCTTACTGAATTAAAAATCCATTTTACTGCAAATAAGCTTACCTACCAAAGGCCTTCTGTATAAAAAGGTATTTGCTTGCCAACAGAACAGAAAGTAGGCCAGTCTGGCGTCCTTTGGTACAGAGTTCCAGAGCGTGGGAGCAAACTACCAAAAATGTGTCTTGTTCCTTTTAAATCGGTATATGAGAGAGATGTACTTCCCAGCATAAATCTTACATAAATGTTACATTTGTGCCTCTGTTAATTCCAAGCTAGCATACTAAAATCTTACATGCACACCCAGAGGTCAAACAAATTTTATATCAATAGTTTCCACAATGTTTTTTTTTTAAAAAACTTTTAAAATATTATTTATTTTCATATTATAAGCTGCCTTGGGTCCTCTTGAGGAAAAAGGCAAGATATAAATATTCTAAATCAATAAATATCTGCTGTTTTGAGGCCCAGGATAGGAACTTTGTTTTCTTTAATTCTCACTTCAGGAAGGGGGTAACTGAAGGGGGCATTCTCTGTTGCTCTTGCCTTGGAGAACTGTGGAAAACAATGCCATGTCTCGTTGCTTTTGGAGGCTTTCCAATGTCAATGCAAGGTTACGAAAAGCTTCCACTCTTCTCCAGGTTTGCATCGTCTCCCAGCAATTTTTTTTATAAAAAAAATGACAAGTGAATTTGTGCACTCTTGCTTTAGAATAATATTTTAATGCTCCACACTGTCATTTATGGATGCCTTTAATGATCAAAGGCAGCTTGTTTTGTGACATTTGAAATTTTCTTCTTCTTCTTTTAAATCAGCTATCTCCTGTGTGGTCAAGACAAACCCAGTAATTTCTCCTTGCTTTCCTTTTACAGGCTCTCTACAATTCAATCAAAAACGAGAAGCTTGAGTGGGCAGTGTAAGTATATTGTGTGGAATTAATGAGCGTTAAAAATGATTCCTTTTATGGTTTTCCATTTTATATGCAGGCAGCATATGAAACATACTCTAGAACTTGCAGAAATCAACCTCAATCTTCTAGAGTAGCAATATGCAATATTTTGTACCATGTCAGCCTTCATTCATTAATCAGAACAAAGTGGCAGAGAAGACACTGAACTGTGGTGGAAATTACTGTTCAAATCCTGTTTGAGCCAGGAATTCATTAGACAATCTTAGAAAAGCTACCATTGCTGGCTTCTTCTTCATTTGTATTATAATTCTGACATACTTTATAGGGTAGTTACAGGGATTACTCAAGACATGTCTATATAGTAGTTTGTATACATGGTATTCTCCCATACTCTTCATACTTGGCATAGCAGGATACAGGGTGGAATATGAATGCCAAAAATAAATATGTAGATAGATCTACATCTGCTCCCCCATTTAAAACTGGGGGCTTGTATACTTTTACTCTTTTTTACACAGAGACATATTATCTGTTTATTTAAAGTATTTTATACCACTCTTCCATTGTAATCCTAGGATGGTTAATAGGAAGTCCAAACAATAAAAATAAATCAGCATGGAAGTTCTGGTTGCAAATGTAATGATAACAAAACCATCAGTGAGATTAAAATTTCAACTAAATAACCCAGGAAAATTTCCTTGGCACCATAAGGACAGAAAAGCACCAGGCAGCAGGACTGTCCCTACCATTTGACAGAATGAGGCATCTGCCTCAGGTGGAATATGCTAGGAGGTGGGCAAGGAGTGATGGGTAGTGGAGGTTTAGCTATCCAGCAGTCTAGCTCAAGATGAATCCTCAGTTATCTTGAGCTAGATTGATGATTTCCACTTCACTAGAAGACAGTGTCCCATCACCAAACAAAGTTGAAGAACTATTCAGCTCCCCATCATATAAGATTTAGTATAGAAGTTGCAGATGGTGGCAGCAGCCATGAAATTAAAAGACACCTGCTTTTTGGGAGGAAAGCGATGACAAATCTAGACAGCATCTTAAAAAGCAGAGACATCACCTTGCCGACAAAGGTCAGCATAGTCAAAGCTATGGTTTTTCCAGTAGCGATGTATGGAAGTGAGAGCTGGACCATAAAGAAGGCTGACCTCTGAAGAATTGATGCTTTTGAATTGTGGTGCTGGAAGAGACTCTTGAGAGTCCCCTGGTCTGCACGGAGAACAAACCAGTCCATTCTTAAGGAAATCAACCCTGAGTGCTCCGTGGAAGGACAGATCCTGAAGCTGAGGCTCCAGTACTTTGGCCACCTCATGAGAAGAGAAGACTCCCTGAAAAAGACCCTGATGTTGGGAAAGTGTGAAGGCAAGAGGAGAAGGGGACGATAGAGGATGAGATGGCTGGACAGTGTCATCAAAACTACCAACATGAATTTGACCCAACTCCAGGCGGCAGTGGAAGACAGGAGGGCTTGGCATGCTCTGCTCCATGGGGTCATGAAGAGTTGGACATGACTAAACAACTGAACAACAACAATATAAGTTGTGAAGGATGCCATCTTGCCCTTTGCCTTGGGCAGCAGAATTTCTTGGGTCAGACCTACGAGTCAAAACTGTCACAGGGCGGCACCACAGAGATAATATTTTGTAGACATCCCCTCTCCCCTGATGATAAGGAAGCCTGCATGAAAGACTCCATGAAGATCCTAATGTACTGATAGGTGGATAAACAGACAAGAAGTTGTTCAAGTTCCTTTACCTGCGTCTAGAAGTTGGCTGAAAGCTGTTGCAAGTGGCATAGCACTGATATAGTATAGCTATATAATGCCATTTACAGTTAATAATTTAGCATTAGGTTCTAAGCAGTTTTAAAAGGCAGGTGTGTATGTAGTGCATTCCAGTAGTCCCATCTGTACTACATAAGTAATCTTTTTTTTAGTCAGCTCCTGGAGCAAATTCTTTGCAGCTTTGTGATTACACAGATGTTATTGCTTCTAGTTCTTCTGCCTTCTCCTTTACCTGGGATTAAGTCACAGGAAAGTGTTTCTAGCTACAGTGCTAATGTTCCTGACACACCCTCCACTCTTGTGATCAGGTAGTAATGGCTTCCTTTAAATGAAGTTGAGGTGTGCACCAAGTATGATGATGCATCTTCTCCCTCTCTTAAGATGGTATCACTGCCAGTATTTTGCTAGGGGTGAGTGAAATAGTGCCATCACATAGCATTTCACTGTTCCAGTGAGCACAGGGTTATTAGATGCATTCAGCATAGTGCCGTATCAAAGCATACAGCAATCCTTCTCAAAGCAACTGTTGAATTTTACTGCTTTGAATTGCTCTGTGTGCCAGTTATTTTGATGGGATTTAAACTCCACAAAAACAGGTGGAGTAAAGACCATATAGCTGTAGAATTTGGCAGTTTGTGTGTTGGTCATTATGCCTCCCTTATGAATGTGGTCATTATGCTTGCTGTACGAAATGCTGGTCAAACTCCCCTAAAATTATAACAAGAGACCATGTTGTCAAACTCCATTGTATCTTGAAAGCCACATGCCTGCTGTTATTGCAGCTAGCAAAATGAGTTGTTAGCGATGAAAGAGTGCTTGTAAAGGTGGAAGACTTTTTTTTTGCCTTGGAAATTTCATATTGGAGAGAGAAATTAAATCCTCAGTTAATCTGTGGCAGCATGAATAAAACACGTGCTTGGTTCTCTGCCTTTTATCTTTGAGGGTATTGTGTCAGAACTACTGGATAGGAACACGTCTCAGGTCAGATTTCTTCCTGTTGGCTTGTTGTGCAGTGTTTGTCTCATGATTAACTATGGATAGCTTGACAACGAACTGATATCAAAGATAATTAATTGCGAAAGGCCTAATGTACCCCTCTTCAGCTGCTTTCAGGAAGCTAACAATTGGAATTCAAAGCCAAACATGAGGAGGGCAGTGCCTGCCAAGACACTTTAATCATTCTGTCTCTGACTTCCTTATGACGCTGGTGCTTTCTGTAACAAGAGAGAATCATGGCTGTTGTGTGGAGGCTCTTGCCGAATAAAGAATGTCAACTTAAATGCCATTCCCATATTAATGTAAGGAAGAAGACAGTTTTTGCACAAAACTATTGCTGCACCAAGGGGCTATGCAAGTTTTCTGATGCCAGCCATTTAAACTTTAGCCAAATACCACTTTGAACTAGACAACACTGTTGGATAATAGCTGGATTAAAGATGCTGTAATTACTTCTTCAGTATTTTTGTGTCCTTTCCATTTGCAGTCACTATCAAATAACTGCTTATCATAATACAATTTAATTTTTATTATTTGTATATATAGTTTATATAGTGTTTGCTGAGTTACATAGGCATCTGCAGACAAGGCCTTGTCCTGGTGTACTCTAAAAGCAGAAAAAGAGACAATTAAAAAAAGGGAACAGGGAGAAGTAGAGAGAAGGGAAAGGGCAGGTCGCTGTGGGTTAAATGCAGTTTTCTATTACATGCAGATAATTATCTGTGGTTCTTCAATATGGTATGTTTGATTTATATCTTGCCTTTCTCCCAGGTCTGGGACTTGAGGCGACTAATAAAAAATCAGTGCAGTTTTTTTTTAAGCAGTATTAAAACCCAATTAAATCAATTGAAACATTAAAACACAATTGGATTTCATTAAATTGTGTGTTTAAAGGACAGCAGTTGAATTATTATGGTAATGATGGTGAAGAGCCTCACCTTGTACTAATGAAGTTCTCCTGTATCAATCAGTGTTTTTGACACTGCATGTTTTTTTTAAATTTTTATTTTTATTAAACAAACGTCCAGCATAAACCTAACAACACAATAAAATACAATTACATAATACACCAGTGCCACCTTCATCCTCAGGGCTAGCATTAATAATATTTTTAAAATTCATTCAATTCATTTTCTCTCCAAAAATTCATTGTTTCTTCCCCCAGCGTATACCCCTTCCCTCTCCGAAATACATATTCCAGATCTTAAAATCATTATTTTTGATAGGCCTCTTCTTATTTTCATATCACATGTCAATTTATCATTAAGTGCCATATTCCATAATTCTCTATACCATTCCTCTAAATTAATTTGGTTATCATTTTTCCAATTTCTTGCAAATATTAACCTTGCTGCTGTAACCATTATTACAATTAAATCCTTATTTTCTTTCAACAATTGATCTTTCTTAACAATGTTCAATAAAGCCATTGATGAGGACATTTGAATATTTAATCCAGTTATTTCCCTTATTTCTTTAAAAATTTGCTTCCATTCTTTCTTTCTTACTTCACATAACCACCACATATGTAAATATGTCCCCTTCTCTTTTTTACACCTCCAACACAGTGATGATAAAATTTTATTTATTATATTCAGTTTTACAGCGTTAAATACCACCTCCATATTACCTTATAACAGTTTTTCTTTATCCTTACAGACATGTTCTTCATAATTCTTTGATCCCACGTTTTATCCCATTCTTCTCCTACTGCTTCTTTATCCAAGTCATGTTGCCACTGTGCTTTTAATCCTTGTGTATCCTGTTCAGCCTGAATTAATAATTTATATATTTGACTTACAGTTCCCTTTCTTTCTGTCTTTTCCTCTAATTTCAGTCTTTTTTCAATAATCTCTTCGAATTTTGTCAATTTGCTACTTTTCCCTTCCTTACTTTTCCATTCCCTTGTCCACCTTTCTATTTGAATCATGTTAAACCAAAAAAATACCCTTTCCTCTGAAAATCTCTTTTATATTTCCTTTGTCTTTTATCATCTCCATCCAATCTTATCCTATTTATCCCTTTATCTTTTAATATATTCTTAAGAATTCTTTTTTAAGATTTTCTGGAAAATTCTTTAAATCCACAATCTGGGATAAGGGAGAAGTTGGTGGGCTCAACACACCCCTAAACCTTTTCAAATTTTCTAATGTATTTTTAAGGACAGGGTTAGTAATCTTTTTAATCTTTTAAATCTCTTTTCCAGTCTTCTCTTTAA